GGTACCAATCTGTTTAATAAATGTACGTTTAAACTCCCAAAATTGGATTTGATAGTTTGGTTATTTCCTAACCTTGAAATTTGCTCATGCCCAGTGCGGAGCGCTTGGTGCCAAAGTAGGGGTAAGGAACAAAGAGGGGAGGAGTGTCATTCAGATAAGGCATTGCAAAATGAGTTTTTGGCAATACAGTATAGTGGCAAATGTGTCTTAAACTTTACGCTGACAATACATGTGTCACAACCATGTCTGTTTCTGGAGCAACATCACTCAATTGCTACTTGATGATTTAATCATCAACACCAAACTAAATATTTCTGTGGAAATTCTCAGTTACCCAGGTCATCATGGTATATCCAAAAGTGCTACTTGATGAAAATTGGACCTGACAGAGATTCTTGAAGATCTTTCACCTCTCATCTGAGAAACTCCTTCAGTTCTGACTGACTGCTGGGGAGCCCGGGGCATTTAACCTCTGTGGAGTCGTTGAAGTCACATGTAGGTCTTTGCTCCACCCAGCCATCATGTGAATCATTAGGGTAACATGGGTCAAGGTGTAAATGGGAGTTAAAGTGCTTGGGGAGGGATGTCAGGGCTGTGACTGATAAGTGGTGTCATAGTTTAGTGATCGACACTCTTCTTTCAAACCACTTCTTGTCTGGTTACGGTCAATACATCACTGTCTTTAAATGAGTGTCCCTTGTCCTTCACATGCAGGTGGACTGCATCTTGCCCTGTAGGGTTGGCTCTACTGTGTTGTGCTGTGTGTTTGTGGTGGTTGTTTTGTTTCTCTACTGCAGAACTCTTGGCATTCTTCACTCCACTGAACTGCATATACTACATGATTCTACTGATGTATGGGTGTTCTGCCGCAGATTGTTACTGGTTTGGTATGTTGACCACCAGTCAGCTAGATGAGAAAAGGTCTAACAGCTGAGAGGTGACATGTCATCAAAAATCTCAAGCAAGCCCACATAATTGTGCAGCCATATTAAAATAATGTTTATAATCTAAATAAATGATTTAATTAAATGCTCTCCAATATGCTATTGCATTTAAATCAGCATGAAATTTATACTGTAATAAAAGCAGGACCAGTCTGCACTGATAACGAATATAAGTGATTCTTACACTATCTGTTCTGCAGTATCTGAAGGCAGCACTGTGCCATTATCCGTGGCTGTTTATTGCCTACCTTCATTAAATCACATGCAAATGACCATATGCTGCTATGGACAAACCTTAAACTCCCTAATCCTGT